ATTCGCCAGGTTTATGTGGAGCTCCCCAAGTTCACTATTCTTATGAACTTTCATCGGGGGCATCACGCTCGATTTCCCCTCAGTGGGCCCATATACCTGCTCAGCAAACACGCGCATCTGGAAAAGGATTCGTTGGCTTTCTCCATACGTTTCAAGGACTTGATGCACTTGAACTGGGATATTGCAGTCCTTCCAACTGCCCTCCCGAGACCAAAGTCAACACACTCCTGTTCCTTCTCGACGGACCACCAAGGTGGCAGCAAACCTTTGCGCTCAGCCTCCTAAAGAAATCGGACGATTAGCATCCTAGCCGCATGGTGTTTGGTATGATAAACAGTGTCGAGTCGGTTCTGGGCAGCTAAGCGCTGGTCATCCCACGATCTGATGTAGAGTGTGTCGATAAGAAGTTTGAACAAATCTATTCCTGTCCGGCTGTGTAACCATCTATGCACGGCAAGCCGAGTGAAGGGAGTGGTAACCCTGACTTCAAGCCCATAGTGGACATTTAATGCTCCGTAATCCGGAGATGAAGGTGAGCTCATTATTGCCAGGATGGGGTCGGGTCGCCTTTTGTTGTAGCACCGGTTGATGATACGAATTCACGGGTGCTAAGACAGCTCTTTTTGTGTTCTTTCCAGTCTGCTTTCTGACAGTCTCTCGAACAGTACGAACCTGTTCTGCAGCGACCACATCGCTGTAGAACATTCTTCGAGGACTCGGGTTTGGCACAATTTCGGCAGTTCTGATGTGTTTTGATCGTGGGGGTATGGTTTAGATCTGCCATTGTTGGCGTGGAACTTGATCGATATGTTCGACGGAGCCAAGTCTTTAGAAGGAACTGCGAGAGGATATTGGTTTTAGAAAACTCCAAGGAAAATGGGGGCTAACAGCGAGCAGCACTTACAAATCTTGATGTTATCCTATCCTGCGGTGCAAGCCTAGTGTATCTGAGGCTGTAGACTCGCCTGATTTGGGTTGTCTCAGAGAGCGTAGAGATGGCAAGATCCGGAAAAGAGACAGATTCTCACGATGCTCAGGTCATAGACGATAGAGGCAAGAAGATGGATGGAGATGAAAAGGGAAATGATGGTTGGAAGGTCAACAAAGTTGGCACGATCAAGCCTTCCGTACTATGCGCCTTCAGTAGCTAACAATCCTTGCAATCCGATAATTTTGTTGACTTCTCCAATTCCTCCATTTCCTCCACCTATTTCAACATACCCTGTCTTCTAAGCCTTCGATAGCCTCCCCAAGTTTTTCATCCTAGAAGTTTTCTGCAACGCACACGTCATCCCGAATTGCCTATACAAACTTGCAGGGACCATAAGTATACTAATCATTATGTTCCATCATAGTGACTATCGGTTTATAATCGGTCGTGTTGTATATATCATGGTGAAAAATACTCCGATTCCATGTTGGATATTGAGAATTACCTGGGATTCTTTCAACAAGCTCTTAATATAAACCCGAAGGAGGAGACATCACCCGTCTAGAAGATGAAATAAAGACAGGGGACTATATCTATAGTTCTCCAAGAAGCGAAGTGAAATAAAAGTGTGAGATATCTGAAAGAAAAGAGAGATATTGTAGAGAACCGCATAGTAGACTAACGATATAGAAGGAGCAATAATTAACTTTTAAATGATAGGGGGTGCACTGAATGATACCAGATACTAACAGAGTGTTTATCAATAGGCAGAATGAGTGTAGTACTTCATAAAATGAGCAAACGTTTAACTACCTCTTTGTCCTCTATGGGCTTATAATTATTATAAGGTGCTCTGGGAAGCAGATAAATGAAGTGGATACAAGGGACCTATTCTACACTACTATAATCCCCTGGAGTATTTCCTTAATATATCGCTTGCATTAGATTTAAGTACTGAGCTCGGCAGTTGGATGGTGTTTGCTTGTTTTTAACCGATGTATAGATACGCAGAGTGGCTTGTTTTTATACCTGTTTATAACTTGCTGTAGAAAACAAATGGAACACAAAATTCAAGAGCGGGCTTGAAGTTAGACCGTTGCCTTCATCGATGGGATGGATGTTCATATGTACTTACTTTCCTGAGATTGGTCGTGTTCCACCCACACCTATAAATCTCCTCCTCATTCCTATTCCTCCACGGAGTACGTACTCCGTGCAATTGAGACATATGTACTGTATATGTTGTACATTGTGATGCTAAAAACAAACCTTATTTAATGAACTCAAAGAACGTAATAAACAGTTCCAAGATCGACAGGGTGAGTTACCCTAAAATCTCAATCACATAGTTAACCTTGGGTGAAGTGGGTTCCGGGATTATATGCAGATCTCCTTTATACGCGTACCCGTATTCGGCTTACATTGCCAAGACTGAGATGGTCTTGATCTTTCTTAACATTGCTCCTCTTTTTATACTCCATACTGGGGAATAAATGAATTCGTCATGATTTCTATACATAGACTTTTTAGCCTACCTATATATATATCCTTGTTTGAAGCCAATACTTACTTCCTATGACTTCTGCAACCACATCGAGGAAACATTCAGACTTGCTCATTCAACAATGGTGGCCCTCAAACAGTTCTTACAACTGGGCTGCATGTTAGTTGCAGTGAACGCCGACTGCAACAAGAAGCAACAGCCTGTGGTGGATCTTGGCTATGAGATCTATCAAGCGACTGGAGCCAACAGTGTAAGATCCCACCTTCAAATTTGCATTTCTGCTGTAGAAGCTAACAACCAATAAAGAACTCCGACAGCTTTTATAGCTTTTCCAACATCTGATATGCCGCGCCCCCGGTTGGCGATCTTCGATGGAAACATCCTGTCCCACCCCTAACCAACCGCTCGGCCATTCAGTCCAACGCGGAATCAATCACCTGCGCCCAAGGAGCAGCTACCTGGCAGATCCGCACCTCGCAGTACCTAAACAACTATATGAAGACTGGAAATGTTCCGAATGTCTCTTACAGTGACCTGTCCGCGATCTCCTCCGGTGGAGTGGAGGACTGTCTGTTTTTAGATGTTCAGGTGCCTCGCAAGATACTTGATAGCCCTGGAAAGGATAGAAAACTCTCACCTGTTTTGGTTTGGATTCATGGTAAGCACCCAAAATTCTACATTGGTGCGAAATGCTAAGAAATGAAGGCGGAGGCTTTACTTCCGGGTCCAAAAACAGTTTTGGATCATCCAAGGGCTTGATTGACCGCAGCCAGGTCGATGGCTCGGATGGTGTTGTATACGTTGCCCTTAACTACCGACTGGGTGCGTTCGGCTTCCTATCTGGATCCTCATTTGAAGCTGAAGACGGTGTGCTCAACGCCGGGCTTTACGACCAGCGACTTGCCCTACAGTGGATCCAGGATAATATCTATCGGTTCGGAGGAGACAAGAACCAAGTTACCGTTTTTGGAGAGTCTGCAGGCGGTGGTTCCATCATGCACCATATCACCGCCTATGGTGGAGCGGCACCGGCCCTCTTCAATCGGGCTGTGCCGCAGTCCCCCGCCTACTTCCCCTACCGGTCGCCGCATAACCAGGAGAAGACTTTCAAGGACTTCCTCACCCAAGCAAACGTTACATCTCTGGCCGAAGCCCGTCAACTCCCTTCCGATGTTCTAGTTTTGGCGAATTCGAACTCAATCGGTGTCTCGCACCCGTACGCTTCGGCCGTCTACGGCCCTACACCTGACGGTAGCCTTGTCAAGGTAGACCCCAAGGTGCTACTCCGCCGTGGAGAGTACGACCAGTCCGTGAATATGCTGATCTCTCACAACAAGGATGAAGGTCTAGTGCTAGTGCCAACGGTGCATACCAACAAGGAATACGAGAAGCTAATGAAGAACATCCTTACTCGTGCAAAGCACTCTACCATCGATCATATCACTAAGACTCTCTACCCTCCCGTCTTCGACGGGTCCAAAGGATACACCAACAACTACCAGAGAGCGGCTCTGACAGCAGGTGATATCTTTATCAACTGCAACGCGGCTGCGTTAAATTCCGCATTCAAGAACGATTCCCATGCCTACTTCTTCAATGTTTCTCCAAGTGTTCACGCACAGGACACCGGATATACCTTCTACACTCCGAACGAGAAGCCTTCATCATACAGTCTGATTGACACTGGTGCCGTTAATCAGACTGTTGCGTTTGCTGTGCAGGACTACATTCTCTCCCTTGCCAAGCATGGCATCGTGAACAGCCCTGTCGATGGTCTGAGCTCGATTCCAGCGTTCGGCTCCCAGGCTAAGACTGTACGTCTGACCGCCGACAATATCACAATCTCCCGTGACCCGGTAATCAACCCACGATGCCAATGGTGGTCGCTTGATTTGTTTGACTGAACAGAAGAAGACAGCAATGTCGCTTTGAAATCTTTGTGTTTGTTTGATATCATGCATAGAAATCTTGCTCTTTCTACATGTACATTGTTCATTCGAGATGTATATCTTATTTTGTATTCTTTGATTGTTCTTCTGGTACTCACTATCTTCCATTCTTTTGATCAATTTCTCAATTCAATATCATATTTATTCTACTGTGCATAAACTCATTTACATAGTTCTGCTGTAGTTTTGAAGAGTCATTTCCTTCTACTAGGGAAAAAGAATACCCATTATTCAATGTCCAGCAGCTATTTAGACTGACAGATGCTGATTCAAGTGTGGAAAGACCGATAATGGATGAAGGTTCTGCGTGACTAAATCTTCCATCTTAGAACTCAATTCCAGGGAACTGATAGATGAACCATACTAAACACGAAAAGAAAGTGACGACAAAGAGATTTAGGCAAATTTTTTATCTCTAATCCGTGTTCTTGCGGTATTCTGAGATTGGGCTCATCATTAGCCCACATCTATAAGAAACTCGCCGAGTTGGACCTAGAGTTTTTAGGGCGTGAACGAGGATCTCGGGAGCCTATGGGATCAAAATCGGTGATTGGTCAGTTTGCCACCACAACCTTGGAACGTATCCACCCTTGTACTTAAACTTTTTAGGGCGTGGCCGGGGTCTCGGAATTTATGAGGTCAGCATAATTTCATAGGTCCGCATCAGGGCATACACTCCACACTTCAGATCTGCACCGGTCTTCGGGGGAACTTGCGAATATGAAGTAGAAGACGTCATTTGGGGGGAAAAATGTATCGAACTATAAAAAGAGATACAAAGATCAAGGAATTGCACATACAAAAACAAGTCTTGCATTGTTACAATAACCTCTCTTATCTCCTTTATCTTTTCAATTCACAGAATGTCTCGTGCTGGTCAAATCACGGATGTCTCTCCCTTGGGTCGCCCTCTAAAGTTTTCATTTTCGGGTCGCACTGCCCCTAATCGATTCTTGAAAGGAGCTATGAGCGAACGACTGGCATCCTGGTCACAGGATGACCTCTCCGCTCGCGGAATCCCTTCTGATGAACTCGTGCAAGCCTACACTGTTTGGGGTCAAGGTCAAATCGGAGTTATCTTAACAGGTAACGTTATGATTGACCCCGAGCAACTGGAAACAGAGGGAAATCTTATCATCCCAACAAACGCCCCGTTCTCTGGAGAGCGCTTCGAACAATATCGCCGATTGGCAGCTGGAGCTACGGCCAATGGGTCACTTATCATGGCCCAAGTCAGCCATCCGGGCCGGCAAACCCCCTACCACTTGCAACCACACCCAATCAGTGCTAGTGATGTCCAGCTTGGCGGCGAGGTTCTCGGTAATACATATGGTGTGCCGAGAGCTGCAACAGAAGAGGATATCGAGGGCGTCATTGACGGCTTCGTCCACGCGGCCGAGTACCTAGATCGAGCTGGCTATGATGGTATCCAGCTCCATGCCGCTCATGGTTATCTGCTTAGCCAATTCCTATCTGAGACGACGAACTTCCGAAAGGATAAATACGGAGGTAGCCTCACCAACCGCATGCGTATCATCCTCGAGATTCGTGAGGCAATTGCGAGGAGAGTGCGCCCGGACTTCAGCATCGGAATCAAGGTCAATAGTGTGGAATTCCAACCTAACGGGTTCCAGCCCGAAGAAGCCCGCGAGTTGTGTCAAACTCTGGAGAAACATGAATTCGACTTTGTTGAACTCTCTGGGGGTACTTATGAAAATTGGAAGATGAATGATGAAGCTAAGCGGGATTCAACAAAAAAGCGCGAGGCAGTAAGTTATCGCTCTATTCACCTCTCCCCTGATTTTTCGAAGCCCGGTTTGGTCTGACAAAGTTTATAGTTTTTCCTTGACTTCGCGCAAATGATTGTTTCATCGCTCACCAAGACCAAGTCATACTTGACTGGAGGTTTCCGTTCAGCCGAGGGAATGGTCAAAGCTCGAGAGTTACTGGATGGTGTAGGCCTTGCCCGTCCGCTATGCCAGGAGCCATTCCTCTGTAGGGATATTTTGAGCGGCAAGGTTCCTGGGGCGCTGGTACCCCTCATCAACCAGTATGACTTTGGACTTGCTGCAGTTGCTGCGTGTATTCAGATACGTCAGATGGGAAACAATTATGCTCCTATTGATCTGAGCAACCAAAATTGGGCAGACGCGGTGACCGCGGCGGTTGCCCAATGGGCGGAGCGAAAGCAGACGGATCGCTCAGAAGCTGCTGTTCAGCCTCCGGTAATTGCTGGGTATAGTGTTCCTTTAACACGGGCAGCATAGAAGGCGGAGAAAGCCCCATGATCATAGTGTCCTTACTGATCTAGCTACTATACTGTTCCTCCCTTTTGTCTAAACGAAGCAAATTTGTGTGAATACAGAAAATATATACATGATGTCCAGTCTTCTTTGCCTGGATTGGAGTCTCCCTACTCATAAATTACAACCGGCGAAATCAAATTATGTTGAATCAGAACATGAAATTCAACCTGATGAATCAAAATCAGAGTTGAGTACAGGGCAGTAAAGGGTAATTAATAGCAGATGAGTTGGTTATTTCCGAGATCTGTATCAGCTTTATCAGTTATGAAGGGGTTTCGTGTCATAGATCACTTTTTTTCCGCCATGCAGTTAGAATGGTCAGTTACCATTGATGAAGTAAAGGGGAGATAATCTTCAACTTATACATCATGCACGGTCATTCTATTTCAATACATGGGTAGGGTCACGAACTAAAAGTGCTGGCAAAGCTGCTCCACCGGTGGGAGCACCCTACATAATATCCATGGATGTCCATAAGTGTACTTCGTACATATGTCTCAGGTACTATTATGATCTATCAAAAAAAAACTCTTGGAGAAACACACTCATTTTCCTACTAGGCCACATCAAAAACCATGGTCTCTAATTATAGTCTAGAGAGGGCTATTTCTCAGGTTGACTGTAGGGCGTGACGCCCCAGGGCCGTGATCCCAGATGACTAATGCGGAGTTTCTGCAGCTCTTTGCACCGGCTGAGAGGAAAAAGCAAAAAAACCAACGTTTTATCTCAGTTACCTTTGATCTATTCTCTCTTCGCCCTAATCATAACTTTTTCGGGGTCTTCTCTGCTTCTCTCATGCGTAAAGAATGGACTATATTGACCCTTTCCCGCGACCGTTTCGGTCTATGATAGCGAAGAACATAAAACGGGCCGACAAACAAAAGTCAAGGTAGACCTCGCTGGCATTGCTTAGTACGTACAAATTGACTAGAGCTAATTTGAATGACAGTGCACTTAGCCAGAGCCCGGTGTCAGCACCTTGGCCTAATATCGAAACCCTTCCCCTTGATGTCCTAGAAACTCAATATACGCCGGGCTGGGCAACCTTGGAGCAGGGCACAACGGCACCACATTTCAATAGCAATGAATTTGCAGGTACATTACCAAATTTGGAGAACCAATCAGTTTCTCTTACGACCTTGGCAAATATGAATGGCTCGACTCTTCCATATGGCTCTACACGATCGTGTCAGGCGGCGGGATTGCCCGAGGTGTATACCAATACCGCTAGCTCTATCCATGCTCCAAACTCCATTGAAAAACACATTAACGGAAAGCAACGGATCTTTCCTTGCACCTTCTGTCGTCAAAGTTTCAAAAACAAGTATGATTGGACGCGTCATGAGAAATCGCTTCATCTCGACCTGGAGGCTTGGACGTGTGCCCCCGAGAGTGGCATTATGAACTGTCCATCTACCGGAAATAAGCATTGTGTATACTGCAATCAATTGGATCCTACGCCAGAACACCTCGATGAACACAATCACAGTGCTTGCGTTGGAATGGAGCGTACGTTCAGTCGCAAGGATCATCTGGTGCAACATCTCCGCCTAGTTCACCGTTTGAAGGAAGTTCCATCCTTGCATTACTGGCGGGGCGAAGCGCCTCCCTTTATCTGTACTTGTGGCTTCTGTGGTCATCAGTTGAGGAGTTGGGGAGAGAGGACTGATCATCTAGCGGCACACTTTCGTGAAGGTGCTACAATGCGGGACTGGCGAGGCGAACATGGGTTCAGCCCCGCTATTGCTACACAAGTCCGAAATGCTAACGTATTTCACTCCCGAGCCGGCCACACCACCGAGCCGGCCACCCTACCCAGCTTATTAATTTAAAATGTATTTATCTCAACCAAACCGCCATTAAATTAAATACAGTAAAATCATCTATCTAGCCAGGCATCTATTAATTTTATGTCCTATTTCTCTATAACCACTACACTTTAGGGGGGCCCGTATACGTGGTTGTAAAGCCGGCGAAGGGCTTCTTTATAGAGGGGGAGGAGGTACTTCAATTGCTTCCACCGGCTCAGTAATCAATTAAGAAGCTTCTTAAACTAAGAGGCCTTCTTCGGCGAGGATCTACCTCCTAGATCTAATACGCTTTTGCTTCTACTTCTCGTTAGCGGCGCGTAATTCCTTATTTTCTTTAGCGAGTAAGATAGTACCTTACATTGTAAGACGGAAGCCTTTTATAAGCTGGTTTAATATACGATCTAATAGGCTAGGCGGGCTTTAAGATCTTATACGAAGTAAAGCTTTGATTGATAAAGCTTGACAACGTAGCTCTTTCTCTATAAAGGGAGTTTTTAGGGTAAAATTCTGGCTTAATTTACTACCCCAGCTAGCTAGGGGGGTTAGGGTTCGAAGCTAAATATTAAGCTTTAAGATCACTCTTTCTAGTTTAAAAGGGATTAAACTAGCTACTCTAAAGCTATTTTTAATAGTCTCTGATTTAAAAGCTTTAATTTATATAAGAGGGTATACTTCAAGGAAGTCAAGTTTATTAATATAATTAATCCTAACCTATATCTTTAATTTAACTATCCGACTATATATATATTTTAACACTATAAAATAACTAATATCTAGAGGTTATAAAAGATAAGATAAATATACTAGTATATAGATTAGTATTACCTTATTTTTTTATAAATTATATTAAATTTAGGTATTAAATAACTTCTATAGCTATTAAGTATTAAAAGCCGGTATACCCCCTTTATATATAAAGTACTAGGAATAAAGAGCTTTTTAAGTTAATAAAGTCTAATTTTATCAGAGGTCTAGCTATTAGGACTAACTTTAAAGCGCTAATCCTCTAGAAGGCTATCGAACTATAATTTAATAAAGACTTTACCTTTAAAAATAATATATAGAGGGAGGGCCTAACCTAAAGCATTTATATATTTAATAGCAGTTACCTATTTATAATTTCTAGGTTATAAAACTAGCCTCCGACCGAAGTATTTACTCCTTATAATAACCTTTATAGTTATAGTTAATCCTATCGTAAAACCGGTCTTATTAAAGTTATAAATATTATCGGGGTTAATCCTAAATTAAAGGATTATCTTTTAAACTAGATCGAACCACTCCCTAATGATTTTAGGGTCTTTATATTTTGTACGCTTATAGTTATACCGTTTCGAGAATCAGGAGGAAAGGAGAGGACGTTATTTTATAAATTTCGTAACCTAATTTTAGCCGACTAAAAGAATTAGGGTAGTTCTACGCTTTTAAAGAAGAAGATCTACTATTTCTTATACTATAGAGGGCCGGGGGGCTAATCCACGAGAATCTATAGAGAGAATCTATTTTTTAAGAGATTCCTCTTTAATTTCAGTTAATTTAGATGAATTAGCGCGAGAATTCGCGCGTTATTAGTAGCCGTTTAGTCGATCTTAAAGTATTAAATGTGGTATATTAAAACTAGACCTGGCAGTGACCCTCCATTTGGACCCGCCAAGACGCTAAGGAGGGTCCAAAGTCCGGATTCTGGACCCGCCAAGGAAATTATGCATGCATAACCTATCCTAATTAGGAAATAATATGCTTATAAACCATGATTTATATATATTTATGTCAAAATTTAGGTCTTGGCGGGTCGCTGGACCCTCGGAGGGTCCAAGGTCATGGACCACCCGGAGGGTCACTGCCAGGTCTAATTAAAACGGCGCGCTACCTTGCGAATTAAAGAGATTTCTGGATTTTTAAAAGCCTAGATAGCTAGTAAGATTCTACCCTCTTATTCCACTAAATTTCTAGAGGATAGAGAGCGAATTAGTGGCATGGTAGGTAGTTGAAGAAGAAGGGATTAAATTAATTGACGCGTTTTGGGTGGGGTGGCCGGCTTGGTAGTGAAATACGTTATTCTACTAATAATATATTTCACTACCGAGCTGGACAAACCCCCGAGCTGGATACCCAACCCAACCTATTAAATTTAAATGTATTTATCTCAACCATAACGCCATTAAATTAAATATACTAAAATCATCTATCTAGCTAGGTATCTATTAATCTTATATCCTATTTCTCTATAACTACTATACTTTAGTAGGGCCCGTATACGTAGTTATAAAGCCGGCGAAGGGCTCCTTTGTGGAGGGGAGGGAGGTACTTAATCTGCTTCTACCGGCTTAGTAATTAACTAAGAAGCTTCTTATACTATTAAGCCTACTTTAGCTGGTATCTACCTCTAGGATCTAGTACGCTTTTGCTTCTACTTCTTATTAGTAGTATATAATTCCTTATTTTCTTTAGCGAGTAAGATAGTACCTTATATTATAAGATAGAAGCCTTTTATAAGCTAGTTTAATATATAATCTGATAGACTAGGTAGGCTTTAAGATCTAATATAAAGTAAAGCTTTAATTAATAAAGCCTATCGATATAGATCTTTCTCTATAAAAGGGGTTTTTAGGATAAAATTCCGGCTTAATTTACTACCCCGGCTAGCAGGGGGGGTTAGGGTTTAAAGCCGGATATTAAGCTTTAAAATCACTCAGTTAGGTCTAAATAGTACTAAACTAGTAGCTAAGAAGCTATTTTTAATTATCTCCGATTTAAAAGCTTTAATTTATACTAAGGGGTATACTTTGAGGAAGTTAAGTTTATTAATATAGTTAATCCCGACCTATATCTTAGTCTTAACCATCCGACCATATAATCGTTTTAACACTGTAAAATAACCTATATTAAGAGGTTATAAAAGATAAGATAAATATACTAGTATATAGATTAGTATTACCTTATTTTACTCGTAAATTTTGTTAAATTTAGGTATTAAATAACTTCTATAACTATTAAATATTAAAAGCTAATACCCCCCCTTTATACGTAAAGAAGTATTAGGAATAAAGAGCTTCTTAAGCTAATAAAGGCTAATTTTATTAGAGGTCTAGCTATTAGGACTAACCTCGAAGCACTAATCCTCTAGGAGGCCCTTAAACCATAATTTAA